TTACTCACTACAGTATTCCCTCCACATATACTTCTGCTAAGAAATACTTTTTGACTTATATTTCTTCTGATTTTAGATTTTTGCTTTTCTTAGTTGACAGTAAATTCTATTTTGCTAATAGTAATAAGATAAATGGGATTAAGCAGATACATGTTAATTCCTTGCTTGCTGAAAGACTGAAATGCAGCAAAAAATAAGTAACTTAAGAAAATTTATTTTGGGACATTCGTTAGCAAAACAGAGAAAATCTTCTAAATTTCACCAATCAATTGAATATTTTCCACCTGTTACCTCATTGTATTAATTGCTTGTTGACTTTAGTTCACTGAATCATCCTGTTGCTTTTGGTAATACATAGATAGAACTCCATGCAATTGGCTATAAAATTTCTTCAGGGTTTGAAACTGTATGTCTAACCGGTAAGAAAATGCATTTCTCATCTCTCAATAACTGAGTTTATTGTTGTCCCCGAAATTAACCTAAAGCTCTTCCAAAATTTTATAGAATTCTAGGTAAAATCAGAAGGTAAATGATATATGACAGTGAGCAATAATATATATTAATACAACAATAGGAAAAAATAACATATATTAAAAAACACACAGTCCAATGCAGATATAACTAACTCACTGTTAGTGAAGAGATTATCGGGAAGTAGTCTCAAGAGGTATTTCAGACTAGAATCTTCAGGATACCAATCCTGAGATGGAAAATAACAAATAGTAAGTTAATCAGGAGTGTTTTGGGGATGAAAACCTGTGGAAAAGAAAGGAGTGAAACATAAATTAGTCACAGGGAGAAGTTTAGGTGAAATGAGGTTTCAGTGATGTCTCTGACCAATCCCCGCAGGGAGCTCTGAGACTGTGAAGAACCTTAAGAGTTTTCAGAGCTTGGGGCAGGGTATGGGCTCTTTATAGTCCTGGCATTGACCAGCCATTGCATCTGCACAATCCCACGATGGCGTATCATCTACATGTACCTTTTTAGCCCAGAAAATTCCTGAAGAGGAATTACAGCTAAGTACTGTAGGGTACAAAGAATATTCTTGTAAAAGTATGAATTGAAGATATGAGAATAGAGACCAAGAAGTGGTTACATTATTTGCAAATATATTCTTTTTATTCATTTTTATTATGTTTTTTTATTTTTTTTATTTTTTGAGACAGAGTCTCACTCTGTCTCTCAGGCTGAAGTGCAGTGGCACAATCTCAGCTCACTGCAACCTCCATCTCCCAGGTTCAAGCGATTATCCTTCGTCAGCCTCCCGAGTGGCTAGGACTACAGGCATCCACCACCACATCTGGCTAATTTTTTGTGTTTTTAGTAGAGATAGCGTTTCACTGTATTAACCAGGGTGGTCTCAAACTCCTGACCTTGTGATCTGTGTGCCTTGGCCGCCCCAAATCCTGGAATTACAGGCATGAGCCACTGCAGCCGGCCCTGCACATATATTCTACAGACAGCACACATATAACCTATGCACACACATATACTAGATACATAAATTTTTCTAAATGTTCTGTGAGGTATGATTTAGATATACATGATTTAGATATACAAATCTGAAATGTACAAATTTAAACCTGTATTTATGTTTAGAGATTAATCTTGGGCAGGGATTGACAAACTTCAACCCTCTGTCCAGTCACAAGTTTTTGATAATGATACTTCATTACAACATGCCCACACACTTCCGTTTATGTATTGTCTATGGCCGTTTCATACTACAATAGAAAACGGCAGTTTTCACAGAGGTAGTGTGGTCTACAAAGGCAAAAATATTTAGTATTTAACCTTTTGCAGAAAATGTTTGCTGACCCTTGATCTAAGGTTTGCTATTTTCAAATAATACCACTTCACGTGTAAAGTAAGACCACAGCATCATATATTTCATGTTCAGACTCTTATCCTTGGTACTACTGTAGTCTCATATTTTACTTCCACATTCATTATAAGCCCTGTGATTCATCATTACTATTTTGTAAACACTCAATGATCTTTTAAATAAATTTTATAGGCACTTAACATGTTTAATATTTTAAGCATTCATTTCTTCATGTAAATATGAGATTTTAAATGGTAAAACTTCCTTAAAGTATAAAAATAGACTTCTATTTTTATAGTATACACAAAGGAGTGAAGAATTCTCCCAGCTTTTGTCTTGAATATTATATTATTTATATATTTAACAGATTTTTTTTTGTTGGACATAGCATTTCAGACTGCCAGCTTTTTTTGTCTTTCCTTTTCATCATGTCAGATAGGTTGTTCTGTTGTCATCTGGCTTGCATTATTTCTGCTGAGAAGTAACCCTGTGAAAGCCTTTAAGATTTCCTCTTTAGCATTGTTTTTAAGCAAATAATTTTAATTTGCCTTAGTGTATTTTTCCTTATGTCTCTCTTGCCTGGAAGTCAATCAACTTATCCCATATCTGGGTTTATATATTTCAACCATTATTTCTTCAAACATATTTTATTCTGACCCAATCTCTGTCTTCTCTGCTTTTAGTACTCCACTTGCAAGATTGTTAGGCTGGTTATCAGTGTCTCACCACTTACTGAAATGCTGTTTATTTTTTAAGCCTTGTTTTTCTTCTCTGAGCTTAATTTAGATTCCTTATATGGCCCTACATTCATCTGCTGTTAAACCCATCCATTAAATTATCTACTTCACATGCAATTTTTAGTCTTAAACTTTCCATTGTGTTCTCTTTTGTTACTTTTCACTTTCGACACTTTGTATGCATTTCTCTAATGTTTATATGTTTTATTTTAAATAATGGAATGAGTAACTACTGTTCTAAAGTCCTGGTCTGCTAATTTCATCATTTCTGTTATTTTGGGGGTACATTTCTATTGATCGATTTTTTTTCCTCTGATTCTAAGACGTATTTTCCTGCTTGTCCAAATGGCTGGTATATTTTTCAATTTATATGCTTGACATTATGGATGCAACGTTGTTCAGTTTCTAAATGTTTATGACTTTGCTTGTGGAGTGTTGAATTTTGTTCAATCAAAGTATTAATTTGTGGGTCAGATTTGTCTTTTTCAGTAACGTTTGTTCGGATGTGTCCAGACTAGCTCTCAATCTAGGACTAAAACATCCCTACTTATAATGCATGATTTTTATGGGATGCCTACTAAATGCCCGGATGAATTCAACAAGGTCTCTCAATTTTGTCTAGTCTGAAATCAATTTTTTCCCCGCTCTGTGCAACACCTGGTTATTGTTTATTTCAGAACTCCCTTTACCTGGTGTTGTTCAGCCTTGATCTGAAAGTACACTGCGCAGTATTGCTTCTGAGTCTAGATTCCAGAGACTCATTGATGACTCTCATGTAGATTTCCAAAGCTTTTTACACAGCTGTGCCCTCTCTGGGACTCTGTCTTGTGAATTCCAGCTTCTCAGTAGCTTTGAATTCTTATCTGTCTCCATTTCAGTGACACTGCTGCACTGACGAACTCTGTTTGGGATCATCTTCCACGTGCCATGATCCAGAAAGTGAAGCTGGCAGAAAGCCAGGGATTTGGCAGGACTCACCTTGTTTGTTTATCTTCTTTTATGGGTCATGTTCTGTACTACCCATTGTCCAGTCCCTAAACAGTACTTTATTTTTGTTTTTATTTTGAGACGGGGTCTCGCTCTGTCTCCCAGGCTGGAGTGCAATGGTGTGGTCTTGGCTTACTGCAACCTCCGCCTTCTGGGTTTAAGTGATTCTCCTGCCTCAGCCTCCTGAGTAGCTGGGATTACAGGCGCCCACCACGATGCCCAGCTAATTTTTGCATTTGTAGTAGAGATGAGGTTTCAGCATATTGGCCAGTCTGGTCTTGAACTCCTAGCCTCATGATCCTCCCACCTCAGCCCCCCAAAGTTCTGGGATTATAGGCATGAGCCACGTGCTCAGCCAAACAGTTATTTAATATATATTTTAGTTCTGTAATTTTTTAGAAAGCTATTCTATCACAGTTTTAAGCAAAAATCGGCCATATAAACATTGTTAAATGAATGATGTATCTGTGATGATTTATCAAATGATTATTATGAAAGTCCTAATAGAATAAATTATTTTGCCAGCCTTTAAATTTCTTTTGTAAAAAATAGTACATACATTTTGATATACTGTACCTTCAATAATCTATTAAATATTTTCCTATCATTTATTCTCTTTAGTTGCTGAACTCGCCTTAAAAATTACAGTGCCTCTTAGCTCTAACATTATCCCATATTTTCTTTAACTTATTTTTTGTACAACTCTATTTTAAATATTACTCTAAATTAAGAATATTAGTGCCATTTTTCTAACAAATGTTTTTACAAATTTACAAATCAATTATTATAGTTTGCCAGAAGAGATTTAACTTTGTTTAGTATCTTTTTTTTTTTTTTGCTAGAAATATGACTTTCAAGAGATATTGGCTGCATATCTTCTACGTGTTAAATAAACATATTGCCTGATTTCCTGTATGCCTCCCTGTACCTCTCAGTTGTACAGGAAATTTATGTAAGATTAGGCTCATCCTGAGAATTGCAAATATTTTTCTACTCAACTTCACAAGAAAAAATGTATTTTAGAACTATGTATAATTGCTTGTTTTTAGTTTATAATTACTAAATGATAAAGCTTACATGAAGGAAAAGAAATTGGATAGTGTCATATATTTTTCTCATGATTTTAACTGAAGAGTTTATGGTAAATTGATCAACTCTCAGCTAATTAGACTTTGACATGTACTAATAAGATCTAATTGAGGAATTATGAAGACATTTGCTCAGGAGAAAATGAGCACGTGTTACACCATAAAGAGGTTAAAGAATCAATGTTACCCAGCTGGAAGAATATTGGTTGAAGTCCCAATGGCATCTATAAAGGATACTTCATAATATATCTGTGAAATAGAGCACTGCCAAGACCAATTAAGATATGTAGAATATTCCATTGTCAGTTGTACAACTTCGGATTTAAATATTCATTTTCCCATCTTGCCTGTGTCCATCTTCAGGTGCTGGGGGATGGTCTCCATCAGACAGTGACCATTATCAATGGCTTCAGGTTGACTTTGGCAATCGGAAGCAGATAAGCGCCATTGCAACCCAAGGAAGATATAGCAGCTCAGATTGGGTGACCCAATACCGGATGCTCTACAGCGACACAGGGAGAAACTGGAAACCCTATCATCAAGATGGGAATATCTGGGTAAGTCATTGGCAGAAAAGCAGAGAGACAGAATTGGGTTGCAAATATTAGAAAATGGTACAGGATTTACTAAGTATATATAGTTATGAATGTTTTTCTATTAAAAATAATTGAGAAACTATTTATTCATCCTTGTTGACAGTGAAAGTTTCTTTAGGCCATAATTTCTATCCAACAGTTAAGGCAATGATCCTCAATCTGGATTATGAATGTGAATCACCTGGAGAAGTTTTAAAGCATGTAGATGAAAGGCACAGTCAGATCAATGAGACCAGAATCATATAAGTTGAAATAGTGATTAATGATACTAATAACTTTTATGAAGACAGTAATCTACAAATGAAGGAAAATATTGAAATTATGAAGAATATAATTTAGAGAAGTAGGAGCAGTGATACATGTTAAGAAGAGAAATTGTCCATTTTATAATAGTGTCTTAAATTCTTATTACAGATCTATATTCACTTTATTCCTTTATTATGAGAGAAGAGAATAGACCTTAACTCATTTGTTCTTAAAACATCTCTATTAACTTAAAAAATTGTATGTGTTCAATCAAACATTCACCACATAATCATTTGAATAGATTATTTAACAGTAAAATTTAAGTGTTCTATTTTAGTTCAATTATTTTAAAAAGCAGCCATAACAAAAATCAAGTAATGTCATCAATATTAAATCAGAAGAATAAAAATAAGAGGGAGATGAGGAAAAGGAGAGGATGAAAGGGGAAAGGGGAAGAGAAGGAAGAGGAAATATTAAAATTGTATCCGTTATAGTATTAGGCAGAGTGCTGGGTATTTTCAACTTTATCATGAATCACTATTGTAAACTTTACTTTAGACTTTATATTTTAAAAGTCTTTATATTTTTAAAGACTTTTATATTTATATTTTAAAATAAAAAAGACTTTTAAAATAGACTTTATATTTTAAAAGTTCCCAAGTATTATTGGTAAGGAGCAAGAGTTTATAATTTCTAGCTAAAGTGGATGTTCATTTCCAAAGCAGTATGTGAAATAAGGATATAATGTCCTGATAATAAAACATGTGTCTGCTTAAGCAGAAGTTTAGAAATAACTGCTTTCAAGTCATAATTATATAGAATGTTTGTATATTAGGATGTATAAGTTATACAAACCAAGTAGTGGGAAAAATGCCTCCGTATAAAATGTCTTCATCTCATAATTAAGATAATTTGAATGCTCAGGCATAATTTATAGAAAAGTGATTATCAAGCCTGAATACACAGTGGAATTAGATAGAGAACTTTAGATAGGCCCTTGTGTCCCAACTTCAGAGATTTGAATTTAGTTGGTCTAAGGTGCAATCTGGGCTTTGAGATTTTAAAGTTTCTCTGGTGATTCTAATGTACAGCGAACACTGAGAATCTTATTTTAGATCGGTTTTCAGTCTACAGGTAGGAAGGGAGTAGAGGAAGTTTATGCTGAAAAGCAATAGTAGAACAGAAAATCTGAAAGTGTTGCCCTTAAAATTTGGCAGAGAGAGAGGGGAAGAGGGAGGAGGATGGGAGGATGGGGGTTGGAGAAATCAAGTGACCATCCAGCCAAACAGCAGACCAACCAACTGAGAGTAAACAGCTAAGGCTTAGATCAAAAACTCTTCTAATAACCAAAGCAGTCATTATCATCTGACTCTTTGTGGTTTCTAAACTAAGATCAAATTAGCATGTTGGTAAAATTACTTGAAGGGTTACAAGTCAGACTCTGAAGTATCCTTCACATTTTTGTGTTTGTAACATCTTCATCTCAGAATTAAGAGTGTTCAGATCCTCTCCTCTCATAATGTGCCAAGACAGTAACAAAGATGCTGCCGAAATACTTGAACTTTATTGTATCTATGAGATACTGAACAGTTAAGGGTGGCTAAATGCAGAGACATAAGGAAAAAAAAAATACTAAAGAGGATAAAATTGCTCAGGTTGTCTTGGACATCTTTTTTTTTTTTTTTGAGATTGAGTTTTGCTCTTGTTGCCCAGCCTAGAGTGCAATGACACAATCTTGGCTCACTGTAACCTCCAACTCCCAGGTTCAAGCAATCCTTCTGCCTCAGCCCCCCCAGTGGCTGGAATTATAGGTGACCACCACCACGCCCAGCTAATTTTTGGTACTTTTAGTAGAGACAGGGTTTCATCAGATTGGTCAGACTGATCTGGCACTCCTGATCTCAAGTGATCTACCCACCTGGGCCTCCCAAAGTGCTGGGATTATAGGCGTGAGCCACCGCACCCAGCCCTGGACTCTTGATATTACATAAAATACTAATGGTTGAGTCAGGGAGACAAGGCTGTCATGTAGTGAAAATGGCACAACTTGTGATGGTATGTTGGGTCTACTTATAGGGCTCTCCGTCTTTTCTTAAGGTGATAAAGGGTGCATTTCTATTGTCTGCTACTTTTCTGGTGTTTATTTTGTTTCTTCCTTTCAAATAATATGTTTCTTATTAAAATTCAATGTGCTGTGTAATAAGTGATGAGCGATTATTTCTATAAGAAATTAGTAGTGAGCTAATTATAAAAAGTTAAAAATCAAAACAAGTTGGAGACTGTATTCGTCTGTTCTTGCACTGCTGTAAAGAAATTCCTGAGACTGGGTGATTTATAAAGAAAATAGTTTTAATTGATTCACGGTTCTACAGGCTGTGTAGGAAGCATACCTGTGGAGGTCTCAAGAAACTTACAATCATGGCAGACAGTGAAAGGGAAGCAAGCATGTCTTACATGGCTGGAGCAGGGGAAAGAGAGAGACAGGAGTGTCCCACACTTTAAACAACCAGATCTCCTGAGAACTCATTCACTATCAGGAGAAGAGCAAGCGGGAAGTCTACCCCAATGATCCAATTACCTACTATCAGGCCCCTCTTCCAACGTTGGGGATTACAATTTGTCATGAGATTTTGATTGGGACACAGACCCAAACCATATCAGAGATACAATCTAAATATTACAAAATATATTTAAGCACTAATAAGCCTGTAACATAATGATTACATCATTTAATACTCTATTAAAGAAATGTTTTAATCCTTAGTAATGCCAAAAAAAATGAGTCCATTGCTTTGATGCATTCTAAAAGAGAAAGTTCACTGACTTCCAAAAATTCTTGAATATTTTAGGGCTATGTCTTATCATGCATTAAGTGATTAAAATTTAGCATTTACAAATTTCAACAAAAAGTACTCTTGGGGATTAAGTTTATTAAAAATGGTATTCAATACTAGAGTTTTAAAATCCACTACTACTTAACATTATGTATATTGGACTTGAAGAGAATTTTGATTTAGAGACTATTGGATGGCTTTTCCATGGGGAACACCTTATAAGATGTAAGGTTTGGTGTAGTTTTGAAATTGTTTTTACTATCTATTTTATAATAATTGTTTACCTGAGAAATATAGAAGATAATGTATATTCAATCCCAAGATTCTTAAACAAATGTTCATGGTTGTGATTTCTGTGATTGTTGGGGAAATGGGCAACATGAGTAATTTTTTATAATATTCTTTTTAAATGCATATGGACATTCTGACTTATTTTATCACTATTGGATAATATATTAAAATAAGCAAAGAACAAGTCATTTATAAGCAAATTATGACAGTTTCACAAGGTTTTAGAGTCATGAATCTTGCATTATGGATTGAGAGTGGCTCTTGAAAAGATTCCTAAAGAATGATTTTTCTGAATATTTAATATTCAAAGATCTGAGTTTCTAAATGGGTTTAACTAGTCAAACCTTCCATTCCTTTTTGATGATACTGAACATAATAGAATTCTTTATACATTATCTACAATATAATTTCCTTCTATTTAGACTTCTTTTCCCATGTAAAAGGTAAATAAAATTGCCCAAATAATCATTACATCTACATATTCCACAAACTCTGCTTTGCATGATTACCTTGAGGTGTTTTCAGGTTTCCTAAGTATAATCTGCTAGAGAGAGAGGAAGTATTCTATACAGCATTTTGTATCAAAAGTCCATTAAACATTACATTAAATAAGAATTCCAGCAGGCTTTTGCTAAGTGGCCACATTCAGTTTTGCTTGGGAAATTCAATTACTGGATTTCGAATGCAGATATTCAGAGCCAAAATAGAAAACTGGAGTAATAGCAGTGAACGCTTTCTTTACACACCACTGTCATTTTGTAGGATAGTAATGTACTACAAATTTACCAGTCATATGAACACAGTTTTTGTTTTACTTAAAAAAAAAACTTCCTAATCATGAAAACATGCTTGTGTATTCTCATTTTTAAAAACAGATTTTATCCCTGTTTTTAATTGTAAGTGGGTATTAGACTGAAATTCATTACCACTGCACCTATTAGATGGAGAATTCTACAGATTAGAACTGCTTTATTGTATTTAAATTGCATGGTTAGATACTTATCAAGAATATAGGGATAACTAAGTTCATATTCTCTAAGAAATATTAAATAGATTGCTTATTTTCAAAACCTAGATCTCTATCAATATATGCTTTTCCCATGTACATATGCACATACATAAAGCTTCATTGTTTCAATAAATTTAAAACATTTCAAAAATATAGAAGGCAAATACAGCAGTTAGCAGATACATTTATGAAACATTTTGATTTTCTGAATATCAAGTCATAAGCTGGACCATGTATTCTCTACTTTCTTTTTAATCAAATATTCCATCAACCAATATTTATAAAACAAAAGTTCTCAAAACATCCTGTTGGATTAGTTCATAATTAGTCATTTGGCAAGTGAAAGCCAAGATATCGAGTCAAAATGTCTGAATTCATGTATCTTGTGTCATTTGTTTGTTTTATAAACTTGGAGATTTGACTTTATTTCTCTGTTACACAAATTTCTAATCTGAAAAAATAGATCTACTTTACCTCTTTTTACTCTTATTCATGATTGAAAATATCTGACAATATTTTAGATTAAGGAAATGTTACTTAAAGTTGCAGGTAGAATGTGTGCAAATCTCTGTCATAATTTC